AAAAAGAGTAGGCATTCATTCATATTTTAAAATTATATGCTATCAATCATATTAATCAGACAACTTCTTTTAATCAGTTGGTATAGAAATCCGCCAGATGACAAAATTGGTCGATTCTGGTAAATATAAAAACGACAAGTGCGCACACACGCGCACACATATTTTAAAATCAATATTGATCTGTAATTTTATTATGTTAGGTATGACAAGAATTGGGAAACTAGAATTCAAGAACAAGGCTACGCACCACAAAAACGTATTGGTGGATGGAGGTAAAATTAATCTATGGACGGTTTGAGTTTATTTAAACTATATGCTTTCATTAAATACGATTGGCTTAATTTTACTTTTATCATAATATTAATAACTTAGGTTTATAAAATTTTGTCCTGATAAGCAGACAGCCGATACCGAGCAAAGTCTGCAGGAAACATTACAAGCTATAGAGAATGCTGTGTCAAGAGAAATGGTAATCTATATTATAATCATTATTTATCAGCTAACAAATGTAGATATCTTATAATAATGAATATTTATTTTTAGTTAGAAGAGCGATCATCTGTCATAAGGAATAATTGGAAGGTTAGACAACCTTCAAAAACAATAAACTATTCTTGCCCACCTGTGATATCACTCGAGTCTAGAAATTCTAGGTATAATTAAACTTTGATCTTTATGATGTGTTTTTTATTAAGAAAAAAAAAATTCAAATCTTTATTATTATGCTTGTCAGTTCTAATTCTGAGTCAAGTTCGTCCGCTTTCCCTTCAACTACTATCCCACAAAGCATCCCAACACCAATGAAGCCAATAGAATTGGTTCAACAAGCACAAGATTCTAAATCGCGTGAATCAAAATTTCCTACTGATCAGCAGCATAATCATTTAGAAAGATGCGTAATAAATCTTGATCAAAAAAATCATGAAAATTTTAATTTATCAGAAAAATCAACTACTTTGGATGAAAATTCGCAAAATTTTATTGTTAGCTTAACATCTAAAGAAAATTCATCCAAAGATAATTCAAATTTTCCAGAAATGCCTACAAAAGATATGAAAATCGAGCTTAAAAATAAAATAATAGCAAAACAAGGCTCCTCGTTTGTTAATAACAATATTAGCAAAACATCATTTGATAATGAGTCAATAGCAAATGTGACTGAAAAGGTAAAAAAAGATGGTAATGAAGATAAGGAAGGAAATTTAAGGAATAAGAATAATGTTGAATTAGACGAAAAGATAGGTGATTTTGTAAAAGATGACGAGAAAACACACAGTGACTCGTT